CAAAGGTAGAGAAAAAGGTAAGGTGAGTACTGTGAAAGTGTGGAATATGGTTTATAGTGGGGTGATGGTAGCTTGAAGTCAGAAGTCAACTGCCGGTTAATAGACTTTTTTGTCACATGAGTATACGTTGCCCAGGGTGCACCACGTGGAGGTATGTCATTTGAGTATACGTTGTCCAGGGTGCACCACCTGGAGGTAAGTCTATCGTGAGTATACGTTGCCCAGGGTGCACCACGTGGAGGTGTATGAGTATACATTGCCCAGGGTGCACCACGTGGAGGTAGCCGAATGAGAATACGTTGCCCAGGGTGCACCACGTGGAGGTAAGGTGTAGTATACATTGCCCAGGGTGCGCCACGTGGAGGTAAGACCGTATGATTATACGTTGGCCAGGGTGCACCACGTGGAGGATTTTTGCTGTATGAGTATACGTTGCCCAGGGTGCACCCGGACTCTTTTGCCGTGTATACGTTGCCCAGGGTGCACCAGTTTAGACTTTTTTGTCGCATGAGTATACGTTGCCCAGGGTGTTAGACTTTTTTGCCGTATGAGTATACGTTGCCCAGGGTGCCCCACGTGGAGGTAAGTCTATCGCACACCCCATTCTTGGCAAAATTTGAGACACACATTTCCTAAACAAAGTATTTTATTGAAGTCAAATCAAACTACTTCTCTTTATAACAATTTCAATACTTATTCTAGATTAGCACTAAGTTGTACAACAATGCCACGGTGCGTCAAAGATTAGTTTGAGAAAATCTGGTGAGCTCTTTATTATACTAATTCATATTCTCCTTGTTTCTTGACTAATATAAAATGCAAGCACAATGTCCATTTCCTCTTATTCTAGGTTATTAAACAACATCCAAATAACCTCGGAGAAGGAGAGATGTCCGTTTTCGTGTAATCACAGATGAATTCATCGTTCCAGTAGCAATTTAAAATGTACATAGAAAGATTCATGCATAAAATGATGAAATAATGCCATCTCTTCCATTTCAGACAAATCATTTATTTTGCCAAGAGGTAAACAAACAAGTTTAACTTGAAAGCTCTTCAGCAACTTCGGTGTATCGTAGGAATTCCATCATGTAGTGATGCACATAACCAACATATGCTTCAAAGTCTGTGACTTGTTCTCTGATTGGTAATCGAGCTGTATGTGTTGAAAGTTGAAGCTGAAAGGAAAAGAAGTTCAGTGTACTATTAAAAATGGGTTTAGAATCAAATATTCTCTCTCTCACTTGGACTAAGTAGTTCAGACTGGTGATTTCTCAACTGACTATACATTTCTTTCAACAGGGGTGTGCAATAGACTTACCTCTACTTGGTGCACCCTGGGCAACGTATATTCATAAGGCAAAAAAGTCTATTGACTGGCAGTTGACTTCTCACTTCAAAATACCATTGCCCCACTGCATGTCATATTCGACTACTTCCACAGTACTCACCTCACCTTTTTTCTACCTTTGTTTCTCTCTATTACATCTTTTAAATACTCTTCTGTCCCCCCCCCCCCACCTCTCAAAATTATGTTGATTAGATTAACTCGTATTGGCTGACAAGCTCGCCACCTGCCTTTAACACGTTTTCCAGGTTGGTTTGTAATATTTCAATGAGAATAACCATGCAAATAACGTGTCATTAAGAATTTAGTGATTTGTGCTGAGGTAATCAAACTAAAGAACTATATGGCGATAATTATAGGCCATTGTGAGTTATTTTCATCTCTCATTATTTGGATTTTGATTTACAATCGCATTTTTTCGCATTTACGTTTTATCCACCTCTCCCTGTTTTTTTTTCCTTTTGAGGATGTTTCTACATTAAGTTAATGGTTAATTTCTGCGATTTTCGTCAAAATCAATAGATTCGTTGTGTTTACTTACTATCTGAGAAATTTATTCTCAATAAATGGCAAAATTAATAGTTTCTTCCATCCATTAATTTTATTTACTTGTTACCTTCATACTTTTACTCAAATCTCTTCTGCGTAGTCTTGAGATTGGGGTTCAACGTCATTATGTGTTTGTTCCCTCACCTTACTCGAACAATTCTGATTACTCATTAGTAAGTAGGGTGGAACACTGTTTGAGTTCTGGTAGCTAGCCTCTCTCATGAGTAGACGTCGGGGCTTGACTGGCATTTGAGCCTTTCCTTCCTTGCTCATTTGCCCTTCCTCCTCTCCATCAGTGTGATCGCCCATTTTACGAGAACGCATCACATCCATACTCTCTGTTTCCAGGGTCCTAATGTCGGCTCCTATTGAACGAACCTTCTCAACAGCGTCTGTGAATTCTTCCATCTCCATACCTTCTCCAGCGTACCTTAATATCAAAATAATAATAATAATAAGAACAGTAACTAATTTGAACCAACTAACTTCAAGCTTCACATGCTTATTGACCATATTCTAACATTCGAAGTCTATGGTTACCTACGTGTATTCTCGGTGTAATTCCTACTTTCGGAATACACCGTTTCTTACCTTCAGTTTGCTGCATTATTTAGTACCTTCCTGCGTAAACCTCGTTTCTAGTATTTCTAGCAAGTGGGAATAAAATTTCACATAATTTCTTCCGTTCCTCGGGAATCATTCAAAATGTGTTACTACAATCACAGAATAGAATTTGTGCAGGTACTGCCATTGATCATTAGATTACAACTAATTGTTACAATTATCTCATCTAACGAACAAACCACCTTTCTATGATGTGGCTTCACGGGGAGCTCAATAGACTTACCTCCACGTGGTGCACCCTGGGCAAC